AGCTTTAATGCACTGGCAAACCAAGCCCACTTTGATTTTGTAAACATAAATGTTAAAAGGACATATGGGCAACATAATAAGCAGCCATAGAAGACCAGTACAACAACAAGACATGTCATTAACCTCTACTCGAAAACTATACTGAGCCAAGCTTGGGCTGGGGTCATCTGTTTATCAAGCCTTAAAGCCAAGAATAGATCACAGCTCTTTTAAAACAATCGAGTATGAAGTCGGTGTTTATTTACAATGCATTTTCAGACAATAAATACTTCGAGTTCAGGGCAAGTAGATCACGATTTTGTATTGGTGCATTGTTTCAGTCACCCAAAAAACATCTCGGAAACAAAATAGAAACGAATAAAAAATTTGAGAATTTATTTCAAAAACATTTTAAAACATTGATGAAAATATACATAAACATCTCAAAACATTAATGAAAATGTGTTGAAACATCTCAAAACACCTCAAAGCATTCTAAATACCTCAAAGCATTGGTATTTCTATTCTGACTCGCTCTGATCTCCTTGGAAGCGAGAATGTCTCGACCATTTTGAAATNAGTACGAAGAAAAGAAAAGTTAAACATCCCAGTACAAATTAATGTTAAAAAAGTTCACAAGGACAAAAATAAATAAGGATACCATAAGAAAAATCCAATCCAATGGCTAAAATCCTATGTCAATTCCAGANATGAATAAAAGAGTGTCGATGTCCAACACGGATACGTTATCGTTTTAAGAGTGTCCGTACTTCTTAGCCTTAGGATTAGGCATTATCCCAAAAGCGGCCAGACATATGCCATTTCAAAGCAATAGCAAAACCACCAAACTAGAAGAGACCTAGTTGATTGGGCTCTTGAAGCAAGTCGACTGGACCCTAGTCAACTGGCCATGTTGTCGGTCAACTATCCCTTCAAGCTTTGACAAATTTAACCGTAATTTAATCTTTTCAGATGAAAGTTGAGCGGTACAGGCTTCCGATTCTCCCATATACATCCTATAACACCCATTGAAGAATTGGATGCATTGTAGCCAATCATACTCTTTCATTCACGAGAGCATAAGCTGAAGGTTTGTGGGTCACACAAAGGGCCATTCACTCCATTTTGCAGGTATCCATTTGTGTGCCATAAACACATTTGCCTAGAAACCCACCAAATCATAGTTACATGCCTAGAGAGGGTTTATCTAGATTGGCTATTGAATTAGCCAAGTTGTAAAACACAAGCTTATTTAGACTGATCCTAGAAAACCCCTTATAATGAAGTGACCCAGCCATAGCGGTTGGAAGAGGTGAGTGTGTGCCTTGGTGGACGAACCAGAGTTGTGGTGTGTTTTCCAGTTAACTGATGTGTCAAATTGCAAAACATTCTCTAAACCAACAACAAAAGCTGAACCTTTCTGTAACTATTACTGGGGCATGAGCCCAGCCGAATGTTGGCCTGCTCAAACTTGGCTCATACTCAAGTTAAGCCAAGGACACATTGTTCAAATTCAGCTCAGCATCATTTCATTAGACTTGCAAGATGCTCGTAACTCAGCTCTAGAAATACTAACAGGTGAAACGCTGTGTTTCTGATGGGCCACATGTCATTTCATGACTGTAGCGTCAGGCTTTCAGAATTTAAAAACAAAAAATAAACAGTCAAAGGCTGAACAGGTGAGATCATCATTCAGGTCATAAGCTTTAATGCACTGGCAAACCAAGCCCACTTTGATTTTGTAAACATAAATGTTAAAAGGACATATGGGCAACATAATAAGCAGCCATAGAAGACCAGTACAACAACAAGACATGTCATTAACCTCTACTCGAAAACTATACTGAGCCAAGCTTGGGCTGGGGTCATCTGTTTATCAAGCCTTAAAGCCAAGAATAGATCACAGCTCTTTTAAAACAATCGAGTATGAAGTCGGTGTTTATTTACAATGCATTTTCAGACAATAAATACTTCGAGTTCAGGGCAAGTAGATCACGATTTTGTATTGGTGCATTGTTTCAGTCACCCAAAAAACATCTCGGAAACAAAATAGAAACGAATAAAAAATTTGAGAATTTATTTCAAAAACATTTTAAAACATTGATGAAAATATACATAAACATCTCAAAACATTAATGAAAATGTGTTGAAACATCTCAAAACACCTCAAAGCATTCTAAATACCTCAAAGCATTGGTATTTCTATTCTGACTCGCTCTGATCTCCTTGGAAGCGAGAATGTCTCGACCATTTTGAAATAAAATTTCGATCCTCGGTTTAGGGAGTAAGGCTATAAACGCTATGTAGACAACACTTTTCTATCTCGAACAACACATCACAAGCAACTTAACTTAACATTCCCCTTTAGAGACTACACGAGATTTCCTCAATAATAAAAGTACTACTCATAATCGAAATGTCATCACATAGGGTCGAGATTTATCTGAATTAAATTGGGGTCTCCATATGTTCTTGCAGCAATTTTTTTAGTATGTTCGAGTCGTGAAAACAGTCTCTCTACTTGCCGGAGATAAGGGTGCATACATCTAACCCTTTCCAGACCCCGCAATAACGAGAGTCTCATACACTGGGTACATTTTTTTTTTTATTTACTCAGTACTGCTTTGTGATGGGAACCCTATGAGACTTACTCAATCACTAGGAAGCATAAATCACAATCAAAAGCATAAGGAAGAGCTGAATTTTGTGTAAAACAAACATTCATCTATTTTTGTTCCTTCTGTGCCTCTTATTCTAACACTTAAAGGGAAATGTTGATAAATATATTGCAATAAAAGTGTGCAACTATCACATGGTCCTATTGACCATAACTTAACATAGTTTATCTTGAAATTGTATTCTAANGTATTTTTTGTCAGTTTAGTCCTCATTATATCAATTTTATCAATTTGATCCCTAAAGTATTCAATTCGTGGTACATACATAGATGGACCGTTAAGTTTTTTATGAAAAATTTTTGACAGAAGTGATCACGTGTCATTTTTTTAAACGNATTGAAAATGTGTTGAAACATCTCAAAACACCTCAAAGCATTCTAAATACCTCAAAGCATTGGTATTTCTATTTTGACTCGCTCTGATCTCCTTGGAAGCGAGAATGTCTCGACCATTTTGAAATAAAATTTCGATCCTCGGTTTAGGGAGTAAGGCTATAAACGCTATGTAGACAACACTTTTCTATCTCGAACAACACATCACAAGCAACTTAACTTAACATTCCCCTTTAGAGACTACACGAGATTTCCTCAATAATAAAAGTACTACTCATAATCGAAATGTCATCACATAGGGTCGAGATTTATCTGAATTAAATTGGGGTCTCCATATGTTCTTGCAGCAATTTTTTTAGTATGTTCGAGTCGTGAAAACAGTCTCTCTACTTGCCGGAGATAAGGGTGCGTACATCTAACCCTTTCCAGACCCCGCAATAACGAGAGTCTCATACACTGGGTACATTTTTTTTTTTATTTACTCAGTACTGCTTTGTGATGGGAACCCTATGAGACTTACTCAATCACTAGGAAGCATAAATCACAATCAAAAGCATAAGGAAGAGCTGAATTTTGTGTAAAACAAACATTCATCTATTTTTGTTCCTTCTGTGCCTCTTATTCTAACACTTAAAGGGAAATGTTGATAAATATATTGCAATAAAAGTGTGCAACTATCACATGGTCCTATTGACCATAACTTAACATAGTTTATCTTGAAATTGTATTCTAACAATCAAATGTGTCTCTAGCTTTCTATGTGTAGCGCCCTTCTTTTCTATTTCAGAATCGACTACTTGCACATTTCTCCTCTATCATTCTACTTTATGCATTTTATGTTCTCCCATTAATACAGCAGAAAGAATGGAATATTTTTTCACCTTTCCAAAATCTATCTTCCTAAAAGCAATGACAGTTCTAGGTAGGATAGACTTCTCCAAGTATCAGCCCCAACACATATTATGAGCAATAGCATGAAAAGATGTCAACCTCATTATTTATGTTAGTCCTTATCAATTGACTAGGGGTAACTCGAACCTAAAAGCACTGTGTAATGTAAATGGTTTTGAGGGAGAAGTTGGTAGCCGTTGAATGAGTCNCTGGAGATAAGGGTGCGTACATCTAACCCTTTCCAGACCCCGCAATAACGAGAGTCTCGTACACTGGGTACACTTTTTTTTTTATTTACTCAGTACTGCTTTGTGATGGGACCCTATGAGACTTACTCAATCACTAGGAAGCATAAATCACAATCAAAAGCATAAGGAAGAGCTGAATTTTGTGTAAAACAAACATTCATCTATTTTTGTTCCTTTTGTGCCTCTTATTCTAACACTTAAAGGGAAATGTTGATAAATATATTGCAATAAAAGTGTGCAACTATCACATGGTCCTATTGACCATAACTTAACATAGTTTATCTTGAAATTGTATTCTAACAATCAAATGTGTCTCTAGCTTTCTATGTGTAGCGCCCTTCTTTTCTATTTCAGAATCGACTACTTGCACATTTCTCCTCTATCATTCTACTTTATGCATTTTATGTTCTCCCATTAATACAGCAGAAAGAATGGAATATTTTTTCACCTTTCCAAAATCTATCTTCCTAAAAGCAATGACAGTTCTAGGTAGGATAGACTTCTCCAAGTATCAGCCCCAACACATATTATGAGCAATAGCATGAAAAGATGTCAACCTCATTATTTATGTTAGTCCTTATCAATTGACTAGGGGTAACTCGAGCCTAAAAGCACTGTGTAATGTAAATGGTTTTGAGGGAGAAGTTGGTAGCCGTTGAATGAGTCTATTTGAGACCGTCAGATGAACTTATTGAAGTCCGCCCTGTTTTATATTATAGATTGTAATATCAATGGTATTTGTTTTCTCCAGGTTACTATGCAAAAGTAGCACATAAATATATCTTGAGTGAACTCATAGATTAAACTGAATGTTTCCAACACAATACCATAGGTTAAAGGTCTGCTGCTGCAAACCAAAATCAAAATCAAAATTAATGGCCACTATAACAATATAAAGCATAACCATACCCGAGCTGTGAAAGTGACCGATTAATATTCCCTGCTTCCTTCAAGCGTTCTCCCGCTGCACCTGTCAGCTTCTGTCTTTCTGAACCAGCAAGATCAACAAGATTTATTCTACTTGATTTAAAGCAGCTTAATCCATCTGCCATGCTCTGGAAAATGAAAAACTTAATTGGGACCACTTTTAGCAAACAACAATTTAAACAGCAAAAAGGACCCAAAACAGAACTGGAGAGCGATAGAGACAAAAGATAGACAGCAAGAAGGAAAGATCAGCTAGCGTGCATTTAAAATCTCCAGGAACCGTATAGCAAAAATCATCCCTGTCCTTAAAGAATAAAGAAGACTCGAATCATCATACATGTCTCAAATAGGAAATTCTAACTCAATAATTTGTCCACAATCCCATGATTATATTACCTTGCCTCGTGATTCCACAACACAAGTGAATACACTATGGGATCTGGAACTCTCAGCATTTATACTTGTTGCCCCAGTCCTCCTATTTGACAATCCCTGTATAATTTTGTACAATGATTATAATTACGAAGAAAAGAAAAGTTAAACATCCCAGTACAAATTAATGTTAAAAAAGTTCACAAGGACAAAAATAAAAAAGGATACCATAAGAAAAATCCAATCCAATGGCTAAAATCCTATGTCAATTCCAGAGCAATTACATATTAATGCCTACACATTCCCCTTTACTAACTACCATGTGACCCACTATCGGAAGTAATTCAAACACATTAACTTATTTGTAAGACAGAGTATATATGTAGGACAGACATACTGGTGTAACTTCTCTTGCCTATTTAAATTAGGGTTAATAACACTTTTGATCTCTAAAGTATGTATTTTTTGTCAGTTTAGTCCTCATTATATCAATTTTATCAATTTGATCCCTAAAGTATTCAATTCGTGGTACATACATAGATGGACCGATAAGTTTTTTATGAAAAATTTTTGACAGAAGTGATCACGTGTCATTTTTTTAAACGGTATCACGTGCCTAACACGTGATCATTCCATCAAAAACTTAACGATCCATCTATGCAAGTACCAAAATGATACGAATTGAATACTTTAAGGACTAAATTGACAAAATTGATACAATAAAGACTAAACTGACAAAAAATGCATACTTTATGGACCAAAAGTGCATTAACCCTTTAAATTAAGTTCATCCAAATAAGTTTTGCAAATGTACTCAGAAATCAAAATTCTGGATAACAGTGGAACATTATCTATTAGGACAATTATAATACACATCAATTAGTTGTATCAAGTTAGAGGTGACCTGAGGCACAAGGACTTCTACAATCAGTAAGGCATTAGCCTCAAGGTTCTTACGCATTCTACTCCTCCATTTTCAACCACGTAATAAGACACGAAATAAANAACCTAAAAGCACGGTGTAATGTAAATGGTTTTGAGGGAGAAGTTGGTAGCCGTTGAATGAGTCTATTTGAGACTGTCAGATGAACTTACTGAAGTCTGCCCTGTTTTATATTATAGATTGTAATATCAATGGTATTTGTTTTCTCCAGGTTACTATGCAAAAGTAGCACATAAATATATCTTGAGTGAACTCATAGATTAAACTGAATGTTTCCAACACAATACCATAGGTTAAAGGTCTGCTGCTGCAAACCAAAATCAAAATCAAAATTAATGGCCACTATAACAATATAAAGCATAACCATACCCGAGCTGTGAAAGTGACCGATTAATATTCCCTGCTTCCTTCAAGCGTTCTCCCGCTGCACCTGTCAGCTTCTGTCTTTCTGAACCAGCAAGATCAACAAGATTTATTCTACTTGATTTAAAGCAGCTTAATCCATCTGCCATGCTCTGGAAAATGAAAAACTTAATTGGGACCACTTTTAGCAAACAACAATTTAAACAGCAAAAAGGACCCAAAACAGAACTGGAGAGCGATAGAGACAAAAGATAGACAGCAAGAAGGAAAGATCAGCTAGCGTGCATTTAAAATCTCCAGGAACCGTATAGCAAAAATCATCCCTGTCCTTAAAGAATAAAGAAGACTCGAATCATCATACATGTCTCAAATAGGAAATTCTAACTCAATAATTTGTCCACAATCCCATGATTATATTACCTTGCCTCGTGATTCCACAACACAAGTGAATACACTATGGGATCTGGAACTCTCAGCATTTATACTTGTTGCCCCAGTCCTCCTATTTGACAATCCCTGTATAATTTTGTACAATGATTATAATTACGAAGAAAAGAAAAGTTAAACATCCCAGTACAAATTAATGTTAAAAAAGTTCACAAGGACAAAAATAAAAAAGGATACCATAAGAAAAATCCAATCCAATGGCTAAAATCCTATGTCAATTCCAGAGCAATTACATATTAATGCCTACACATTCCCCTTTACTAACTACCATGTGACCCACTATCGGAAGTAATTCAAACACATTAACTTATTTGTAAGACAGAGTATATATGTAGGACAGACATACTGGTGTAACTTCTCTTGCCTATTTAAATTAGGGTTANAAAATCGACTGCTTGCACATTTCTCCTCTACCATTCTACTTTATGCATTTTATGTTCTCCCATTAATACAGCAGAAAGAATGGAATATTTCTTCACCTTTCCAAAATCTATCTTCCTAAAAGCAATGACAGTTCTAGGTAGGATAGANGCATTTTTTGTCAGTTTAGTCCTCATTATATCAATTTTGTCAATTTGATCCCTAAAGTATTCAATTCGTGGTACATACATAGATGGACCGATAAGTTTTTTATGAAAAATTTTTGACAGAAGTGATCACGTGTCATTTTTTTAAACGGTATCACGTGCCTAACACGTGATCATTCCATCAAAAACTTAACGATCCATCTATGCAAGTACCAAAATGATACGAATTGAATACTTTAAGGACTAAATNAGCCTAAAAGCACTGTGTAATGTAAATGGTTTTGAGGGAGAAGTTGGTAGCCGTTGAATGAGTCTATTTGAGACCGTCAGATGAACTTATTGAAGTCCGCCCTGTTTTATATTATAGATTGTAATATCAATGGTATTTGTTTTCTCCAGGTTACTATGCAAAAGTAGCACATAAATATATCTTCAGTGAACTCATAGANCTGGATAACAGTGGAACATTATCTATTAGGACAATTATAATACACATTAATTAGTTGAATCAAGTTAGAGGTGACCTGAGGCACAAGGACTTCTACAATCAGTAAGGCATTAGCCTCAGGGTTCTTACGCATTCTACTCCTCCATTTTCAACCACGTAATAAGACACGAAATAAAAATACTTAAAGTCAATGCATATTTAATTATTCAAAATATAATGAAAAGTAAACTTTGTGTTTCATAGTAAATTTCTCAAATTTCTAATGAGATTTGCTGGACAAAAAAGTTAAGGGCAAAAGCGAGAACACATGGCCAGTCTTAAAAAGTAAAGCAAATTGCAACAATGGTCCCTAAGGTTTGCCATTCATCACACTTTGGTCCCTAAAATTTCAATTCTATCAATTTCATCCCCAAAGTTCAAACATTAAGCCAATGAGATCCTTGGCACTAACAGTCGTTAAAAAATCAGACAAAAAATACTATGTTTTGATCACATGCTTCTCTTTCATGGCATTTTTGGGATTTTACAAACCATGTGAATCGGATTTCTTATTTTTCATTTTCCCATGAGATCCCATGCTCCAACCATAACCCCTAAACCCACATTTGCGCCCACCAACTCTCCGTCCTAGCCACAGATTGTCACCACCTCCATTACCTCTCCACCACCCAAAATGCATCATGTTCCACCTCCATTGCAAACCAACCCAATCTGCTAGCCCTCATCTGTAACACAACCACCTCCCCCAACTCCTCCTCATCCTCATCCTCATCCTCATCTTATCCGCTGTGACCCATTAGCTCACCACCACACACCTTCAACCCATCATTGCCACCTCCATCAATAAGCTACAAATACTCACTATCAAGTAACCACATAAATGTATGAATTCTCAATAGAAATAAGACATAATTGGAGAGAGGCAAAGAGTTAGAAAGACATTCACAATCAAAACCAAAAACCCAATTCATCATTTCATTTAAAGAGCTACTTGAAGTAAGGGAGAGAGGGAGAGAGGAAGTGGGGAGAGACGCAGAGAGAATGTGTTTGTGTGTCTGCGTTGCGAGATAGAGAGAAAGGGGGGCTGCATTGGGTAAAAGAGAGAGGGAGACGTGACAGAGAAAGGCAATCAAAGAGAGAGAAATAGACGGAGAAGGGAGATTTGTTGGGTTTGAGGGGCATACCTGAGCGCAGAAAGAGAGAGACGCTGAGAGTATTTGTAAGTGTGAGAAAGAAAAAGAAAACAATAAGAGATGATGAAGATCCATGTTTGCGTCCATGTTCGACATCATCCAGATCTAAGAATATTCATGTTTGGGTTCATGGATTATCAGAAAAATCTAAAAATGCCCCTAAAGAGGTACACGTGACATGCACATGATGTTTTTCATCCATTTTTTTGAACAGCAATTAGTGCTAGGGACTACGTTAGCTTAATGTTTGAACTTTTGGGATGAAATTGACATAATTGAAACTTTAAGAACCAAAGTGAGATGAATGGCAAAACTTAAGGACCATTGGTGCAATTTACCCTAAAAAATAACTTCCTTCGTATTCATAAATTATGTAGCAATTAAGAAATTTTCATGTACTCATTCTAAACCAAATATAATCGGCCGATCAATTCAACTACACCAGTTCCATATGCAACAGACAAAAAAATAAGATCAAATATTTATCTCCAAAAATATCAAAAGTAGAACCAAACAACCCACAACATGAAACATGTCCACACTGTGGGCAAAACAAACGAACATAGGTGCCTAAAAGCAATGCACACCTTTATCAAAAGTTGTGTCACATCTTTCATTGTGCACACACTCTGTTCTGTCAAATTATCAACATAGACACCAGTTTTCACATCTTCTCTTATCTGGAACGAAAATCCAACCACAAAAACGTAAGACCACCAGGGTCACCAATTGTATATATATATATACAGACAACATGGACCATATATCCTAATTACCTGGAGGTTTCTTTGACTTGGGTCCAACAAGTCAGTGATCTGTTCATTGTAAATCTGAAAATACAAATTTGCAAAAATTAGTGAATTGAAGTCAATAGCTTAAATATGTCCAGCAAACATAAAGGTCCAGATTATTTACTTAACCTCAAGAAACGAACAGCGACACTGATACGTGNAGAAAAATCTAAAAATGCCCCTAAAGAGGTACACGTGACATGCACATGATGTTTTTCATCCATTTTTTTGAACAGCGATTAGTTCTAGGGACTACGTTAGCTTAATGTTTGAACTTTTGGGATGAAATTGACATAATTGAAACTTTAAGAACCAAAGTGAGATGAATGGCAAAATTTAAGGACCATTGGTGCAATTTACCCTAAAAAATAACTTCCTTCGTATTCAAAAATTATGTAGCAATTAAGAAATTTTCATGTACTCATTCTAAACCAAATATAATCAGCCGATCAATTCAACTACACCAGTTCCATATGCAACAGACAAAAAAATAAGATCAAATATTTATCTCCAAAAATATCAAAAGTAGAACCAAACAACCCACAACATGAAACATGTCCACACTGTGGGCAAAACAAACGAACATAGGTGCCTAAAAGCAATGCACACCTTTATCAAAAGTTGTGTCACATCTTTCATTGTGCACACACTCTGTTCTGTCAAATTATCAACATAGACACCAGTTTTCACATCTTCTCTTATCTGGAACGAAAATCCAACCACAAAAACGTAAGACCACCAGGGTCACCAATTGTATATATATATATACAGACAACATGGACCATATATCCTAATTACCTGGAGGTTTCTTTGACTTGGGTCCAACAAGTCAGTGATCTGTTCATTGTAAATCTGAAAATACAAATTTGCAAAAATTAGTGAATTGAAGTCAATAGCTTAAATATGTCCAGCAAACATAAAGGTCCAGATTATTTACTTAACCTCAAGAAACGAACAGCGACACTGATACGTGAGTTGTTTGTCAGCATGCTTAATTTGCTCCTACATGACAAAAGTGTGGACATATTATAATAGTTAAACTATAAAAATTATGATTATTCCATAATCTAACCATCACGAGTTTGATAATGAAGGGAATGGAATCTTACCTCATTTATACGGGCAAAAAGTAGCTCAAAAACACGGGGTGTTAATCCCTGTTGATCACTCAATATGTTTTCATCCAACAAGGCACTGGCTGGTCCCCATATTGTATATGTCTTTCCACTCCCGGTCTAATCAATTCCATTTCAAAGCACTTAATTTATTATCTCTACTGACAATATACCTTTGAATGTGTTTGAGCAAATGCACATGTATGTGCAATTGTGCATATCGTATATGAGAAAATAAAGATGGACCAGAGCATACCTGCCCATATGCAAATACAGAACTGTTGAACCCAGCAAGACAATTCTCGACAAGAGGAGCTCCCACAAGCTGGAATATATCTAGCTGAATAATGCAGAAAAAAAAATAGACAACTTAAAGCATGTGATATCAGTGAAAATTTTCTTTAATATGCCATGGAGGACTATGAAACATTCATCTTGCCTGTGTTGCCTCAGTTTCAGCCACAGAGTCAAAAGTAAATGTCTGTCCAAGGATCAATAAAGAATCACTAGAGATTTTCTGAACTATCATTTCTCCTTCTTCCTCATTCTTATTTGGTGGCCTCATTCGCACTATTACCTAATTTATGCATCCAAAATCACAAGAATCAATAAAAGTACTATGCTTATGTTTAGTTTTCCAAGAACATGCAGATAGAGAAAAGAAAGCAATGTTCCATATCTAAAATCATTCACCATCTAGCATATCAGGAAAAAACCAAGTTTAGTTAAGTTGTGCAGTGTTGCTAAAACTTATTTCTCCAACCAAACAATGTAAAATCAAATTAGAGCAGAACTCATGTTAAACATGAGCAAGATAAGCCTTACTTCCAATTCTTCTTTCCAACGTTTGCAGACAACCAAACAAAGACGTAAGACAATTTTTAAACAAACTACAATCAAACACCTAAACAAGATTCCAACTTTTCATTTTGTTTTTCATTACTTCTCAGCAGTTAATCTAAGCAGACACAAAATTTCCGATCGAATTTTTCTTGTTTTTCATGAATTCAAAAGTCAACTAAAATTGAAGTTTGAACTTAAAAATACAAGATTCAGAATCTCTTCCTCTACAAGAAAATCAAGCAAAACAGAAAATTAACGTTTCAAAACTAGGGCCCTAACTACACAAATGCTGAATTCTCGTTTTCCCCTCATCTTTTGCACATCTGCTCAGCAACAAAATTCAATTATCAAACTAGGGTTTCATCCTCAACTTTCACAGCAACCAAACACGTTGTATATGGAACACACTAATTTCATAATGAAAAAAAACAACCTTGACTCCAGAATCTGAAGGTCCGGAGAACCCATTTTCANGTCTAAAAGCAATGCACACCTTTATCAAAAGTTGTGTCACATCTTTCATTGTGCACACACTCTCTTCTGTCAAATTATCAACATAGACACCAGTTTTCACATCTTCTCTTATCTGGAACGAAAATCCAACCACAAAAACGTAAGACCACCAGGGTCACCAATTGTATATATATATATNCTGGCATTATGTCGACGTTGAGCTTCCTTTTGAGAGGGTTCAAAGGTAGCGGCCTTGGCGGAAGCGGGCTCTTGATCTTGGAGGCCAGCGACTGTTTTCCGGCAGTGGACGGTGACGGAGATGCTGAATAATCCGGCGGCATTGTGTTCGGATCCGATGGTGGAGCATTCTCTTTGGACCCTTTCGGCTTTCGGTTTGACGATGAAGATTTCTGTTTGGAAGAACTAGGGTTTGGAGACATTGTAGTGTCGTGATTCTCTCTCAAAATTGTGTTTCTTGGTTGCATAAAATGCTTCATTATGCGTGTGATGGAGAGAAACAGAGGTAGGGGCTTAAGCAGACAAGGAAGCGAGAGAGAAGGGAAGAGAGAGAGATAGAGAGAGGTAAAGAGTGTAGAAGGAGGAGAGAGATATGTAGCCGTTGGTGGTTTGGGGATGGAGAATTTGAACTGAGTTTGGGAGGAAAGAGAGACTGAAGAAGAGACGTCATAATTTCACATGGGCTTTAATCTTTCTTGGAGCTGACTCCTCTCAAATTCTTTAATTTCACTTAAAGTCTATTTCAATCAAGTCAACGACTAAAGTGGACTAAATTGTACCCAAAAAAAAAATGGAAAAAATCAGATATACTATCTTTTCCTTTCCTCAATTTTCTTTCTCTTATTTAGTTCCTTCATTCNAGAAAATGGAAAAAATCAGGTATACTATCTTTTCCTTTCCTCAATTTTCTTTCTCTTAATTAGTTCTTTCATTCTCCCTTTTCCCTCTCATCCCTCCTTTCTTCTCTTCTTTTCTTCAAATGTCTCTTTCCTATATATTTGTCTCTCGTTCTTCACTCCCCCTACATCGGTATTTTCCATCTCTCCTCTCTTCCTCAAATTTTTTATATGAATTTATTATTAATGTACAATCATTTTTGAACAAATTTATCAATCTACAGCATTTTTAAACTTATTTATCAAATTACAGCATTTTTTAAAAGCGGAGTCAATAATCCTACTTTTCTAATAAAATCAGAATCAACAATTCCGTTTTTAATAAAAATATATTTTAATATTATTAGAAATCGTTATTAATAAATCCACTTTCTAAGTAAGACTAGTATCCAACTGGAATTTCATCGCAATCGGCACACCACAGTCGTACAACCACTTCAGACGATTGAGAACTTGTGTGAAGCTTGTTTTAAAGCTTCTAATACTTTCAAGGCTTGTTGGGTCTCTTTTTCACATTTTCTTCTTCCATGATTTACCGAAAAAAATATTTTTCTTCCATGGCTAAGCTAAGCTTCTATAGAGAGAGAACTGTGTTTATTACGGGGCTCAGCAACAAGTCGTGATTTGTTACAAAACCCATTCACAAATCACAAAAAAATAATTTATCGAACCAAATAAAATTAATCTTGCATAATCAACACAGAACCCTTCAATGGATTTTGGGCTATATAAGTGACCCTGAAATCCACCATATTCATAGCAGTTGGATTCTTCTCCCATTATGTGCATGACTGTGTGTCAGTGTGTGTGTCTAAGCGAGAGAGAGAGAGAGACAAGAGGAATTATAGTGTGAGGGTAAAATAGATAATTTACAATGTTAATCAATACCTGTNACAAGAGGAATTATGGTGTGAGGGTAAAATAGATAATTTACAATGTTAATCAATACCTGTGAGATGACAGAACCTATAAAGGTTCTCAATGTTATTTTCAAAGCAACAATGTAAAAGCAAAATCCTTAAACCCGCTTTTATTTTTAAAAGCGGAATTATTGATCCCGTTTTTATTATAAAAGCGGAATTATTGATTCCACTTTTAAAAAGTATTATAGTTTGATAAATAAGTTTAAAAATGTTGTAGATCTGTAAATTTGTTCAAAAATGACTATACATTGGTAATAAATTCAAATTTATATCCTCTATTTATTTGTCTCCTTCTCTCTCCTCTCTCATCCGTCTCTTTGTCTTATATTCCTCAAATTTCTCTCTCATATATTTGTTTTACTAGGGTAACTCGTGTCTATAATGTGAATAATTTTGAAGGGGATATTGGTACCTATTTGATGAGTCTATTTAAGACCATCGGATGAATTTATTGAAGTTTGTCATGTTATATATATTATAGATTCTCTCTCTCTTCTGTCTTCCAAAAGCTTCTCTATCCTATTTCTTAGTCTCATTTTTCCCTCTCTTTCTCATCCTTCCCCCTCTCTCTCTCGACTTGTTTCTCTCTCTGTTTTGTTATTCAAAACAATGAAATCAAAATTGTAAAGTCAAAAATAATGAATAGTAATGGAACTAATGAGATTTGCTTAATTAATTAAATTGATTAGATTTTAATAATTTAGTTAAGACGTTTCATTTGAATTGAGAAACATATATCAAAAATATTGAAAAAAAAATAAACAATGAATTCTAAAAATATTAAATTTTAAAAAAATGAAACTCCTTATTCACAAAATTTTTACAAGTAGTGAACTTTAATAGAATGAAACAAACACTTTAATAGAATCAAACTCTTAATTTATTGTCCAAAATTTTAAATAAATTCAAAATAGGGGACAAAGTATACCTTATAATAATGATGATTACATTTTAAATTAGCGCACAAAGGCCAATTGCTTGCTTCTTAACAAGAAATAGAATGGGAATCAATTCACTCTATGCTACCAAAGGACCCATTGACCCTTGTGACGGTGACGGTGTAACATCCTGTCCAAGAAAATAGGAGCCCACTATGTTATTTTCATTTAATTTTGCAATATCATACCGAAAAATTAATGTGAGTCGTTGATGGGTCTGTCTAGCAATAGGAACTGCTGATTAACTTGTACTTGTACTTTTTTATGTTTTCCAATGTGATAACCCGTGACCACCTAAATTGGTAATAGTTCAAAAATTATATATTTTAAAATAATACATGTCAGATAGTACAAGATATTGGACTTAACTTTGTTAGATAGTACAAGTCATATTGGTACNTAGAAGGAGGAGAGAGATATGTAGCCGTTGGTGGTTTGGGGATGGAGAATTTGAACTGAGTTTGGGAGGAAAGAGAGACTGAAGAAGAGACGTCATAATTTCACATGGGCTTTAATCTTTCTTGGAGCTGACTCCTCTCAAATTCTTTAATTTCACTTAAAGTCTATTTCAATCAAGTCAACGACTAAAGTGGACTAAATTGTACCCAAAAAAAAAATGGAAAAAATCAGATATACTATCTTTTCCTTTCCTCAATTTTCTTTCTCTTATTTAGTTCCTTCATTCTCTCTTTTCCCTCTCATCCCTCCTTTCTTCTCTTCTTTTCTTCAAATGTCTCTTTCCTATATATTTGTCTCTCGTTCTCTCTCTCCCCCTACATCAGTATTTTCCATCTCTCCTCTCTTCCTCAAATTTTTTATATGAATTTATTATTAATGTACAATCATTTTTGAACAAATTTATCAATCTACGGCATTTTTAAACTTATTTATCAAATTACAGCACTTTTTAAAAGCGGAGTCAATAATCTCACTTTTCTAATAAAATTAGAATCAACAATTCCGTTTTTAATAAAATATATTTTTAATATTATTAGAAATCGTTATTAATAAATCCACTTTCTAGGTAAGACTAGTATCCAACTGGAATTCTATCGCAATCGGCACACCACAGTCGTACAACCACTTCAGACGATTAAGAACTTGTGTGAAGCTTGTTTTAAAGCTTCTAATACTTTCAAGGCTTGTTGGGTCTCTTTTTCACATCTTCTTCTTCCATGATTTACCGAAAAAAATATTTTTCTTCCATGGCTAAGCTAAATTTCTATAGAGAGAGAACTGTGTTTATTACGGGGCTTAGCAACAAGTCGTGATTTGTTACAAAACCCATTTACAAATTACCAAAAACCATTTAATTGAATGAAAAATATAATGTCACAAAATCAACTCAAGCATCTCCTTCACAAACCCATTCACAAATCACAAAAAAATAATTTATCGAACCAAATAAAATTAATCTTGCATAATCAACACAGAACCCTTCAATGGATTTTGGGCTATATAAGTGACCCTGAAATCCACCATATTCATAGCAGTTGGATTCTTCTCCCATTATGTGCATGACTGTGTGTCAGTGTGTGTGTCTAAGCGAGAGAGAGAGAGAGACAAGAGGAATTATAGTGTGAGGGTAAAATAGATAATTTACAATGTTAATCAATACCTGTGAGATGACAGAACCGATAAAGGTTCTCAATGTTATTTTCAAAGCAACAATGTAAAAGCGAAATCCTTAAACCCGCTTTTATTTTTAAAAGCGGAATTATTGATCCCGTTTTTATTATAAAAACGGAATTATTGATTTCGCTTTTAAAAAGTGTTATAGTTTGATAAATAAGTTTAAAAATGTTGTAGATCTGTAAATTTGTTCAAAAATGACTATACATTGGTAATAAATTCAAATTTATATCCTCTATTTATTTGTCTCCTTCTCTCTCCTCTCTCATCCGTCTCTTTGTCTTATATTCCTCAAATTTCTCTCCCATATATTTGTTTTACTAGGGTAACTCGTGCTTACAATGTGAATAATTTTGAAGGGGATATTAGTACCTATTTGATGAGTCTATTTAAGATCATCGAATGGATTTATTGAAGTTTGTCATGTTATATATATTATAGATTCTCTCTCTCTTCTGTCTTCCAAAAGTTTCTCTATCCTATTTATTAGTCTCATTTTTCCCTCTCTTTCTCATCCTTCCCCCTCTCTCTCTCGACTTGTTNCCACCATTGTTTACGGATACCGGGGAAAAGGGTTAGTATACTAGACACCTTGGGAGGATCTCGTCAAGGTCGTATGAGACGATACACGCCCTTCCTAAATTGGTCTGTAATTGTTAGTGGAAATGGGTGAACGAGGTAGAATCGTCGGGTAGATTCATGAGAAACGACAACCTACTTGAGTGGTACCAAATAGAAATTTTTGTTCATTGTACCAAATATTATTTTTCCAAGAGTTTCGGGTAGTATGGGATGCCGCGATACCTTGTGGAAATGGTGTATGGTGGAGTTGATTATGTTGGAAATTGTTTGTCAATTAAATGTGGTTTTATTCTCATTCAAGTCCTTATTATTGTACAAACTTGAGATCTCCTTTAAAATGTCCTTACTTTACTTTAAAATTCATTTATATNCTCCGAAAGAAGGGAGCGTGGATCCCGAGGTGGATGCTTAGAGTGACCCCCCTTTCTTTTGTTATAGACTTGGATAATCT